TATATATATATATATATATATATATATATGTATATATCTGTGTGTGTGTGTGTGTGTGTTAATATGAAAAACTTACAAAAAATACACAAATCACTTAAAGAGATAATTTTTGGCCTAATAAAATGCACATTAAAATTTTAATTTTTTGTAATTTATGATTTTTATTGATTTTTTATTATTAAAAGTTAATTTATTTAATATTTCTCAAATTTAAGGAATATTTTGATCCTTTAAATCCTTATAAAACTTTATTCGAATGTTAGAAATGATTTCATTGATGTTTTATGTGAATATTTTTAATGAACTTCTATTAATTTTTAATAATTTATTTATTTATTTTTTATTGTATTATTTGATCCATAAAATTAATTAAATCTAATTAATCTCCAAACTTTAATAGAAGGCTTGGGATTCAAATTAGGTTTCTCTTCTAATCAACTCGAAAGCTTGAGCTCAAGTGGTATTTATATGAGTGCTATGTCAGTTGGCCCCCCTTAGCTTCCTGCTCCAACCATTGGTGCCAGCTGAAAGTAGGCTTAATTCCCCAATGATGAGGAGCCAAGTGTCAAGGTGGGTAGGAGGGTATGTAGAGTTATTTTTTTTAGTTTAACCGTGGCCTGGTGCTCATTTTAACCAACTAGGAGTCCACCTAATTCTTGAATCAATTGAGGTTGGGTTGATTTTGAAGTGAGGTCAATTGAGAGTAGATTCGAGGTTACTTGGCTACGAGATTTAAGTAATAATTAAGTGGCATTGCGGGTTGCATAGCCATCGATTCAAGGAAAGATGGCTAAACTTTAAACGCTATTTGATATAGCTCTTTTAACATAGGGTTTAAACAAACAGTGATGATTGTTATGGGCTATTTAGCAAAAGATTTAAGCGAGGTTTAACGGCTGGATGTGGGCAGCAAGTTTATGATGCTCAAATACTGTTAGGTGGCTGATCATATGTAAAATTTAAGCAAGATTTTGAAAATTTATTGGCATAGGATTGATGTAGCATCTAAGTTGGATTTGAGTACGGTTTAATGAATAGTTTGGGTAATGTATTTGTGCAAGTTTTGGATTGATCAATGATTATTTTATGTGTGTTTGAAGGTTGTTTTAGAATTCATTTTGTCATGTTTGATGTAGGCTGAGATTGTACTTGGTAAAGTTTAATAAGTTTTTTTTATCTAAAATTTGAAATAGATAAAAGGTTGATTTGTGAAAAGTTTAGTAAGGTTTTGAAATATTTGTTTGAAATTGATTTAAAAATTATTTAAATAGTGAAGTTTATGTAGAACTTAAAGTGTCTTTAGAAATTATTTGAAGACCTTTTATATAATAAATATTTAAAAAATTTTATACAGAATAAATATGATTTCAAGTTTTCAGTCATATGTAAAAAACTCTTTAATCTACGATTTTCTAATTCTTTTAAAATTTAATTATTTAAATAGTGAAGTTTAATGATTATTTTTGGTAATGTATTTTTGTAATTTTTGAATTGATAATTCATTTTGAATTGTTTTATGTGTGCTTGAAGGTTGTTTGAGAATTCATTTTGCCATGTGTTATGTAGGTTGAAATTGTACTTGGTGAAGTTTAGTAAGTGTTTTTTCTCTGAAAATTGAAATAGGCTAAAGGTTAATTTGTGAAAAGCTTAGTAAGATTTTGAAATATTTGTATAAAATTGATTTAAAAATTATTAAGTGCTTAAGTTTATGTAGAACTTAAAGTGTCTTTAGAAATTATTTAAAGACCTTTTATATAATTAATATTTAAAAAAAATTATACAGAATAAATATGATTTCAAGTTTTCAGCCATACGTAAAAAACTCTTTAATTTATGATTTTCTATTTCTTTTAAAATTTAATTTTTGAAAAAAAGGAATGTTTATCTAGAAATCCCATGCCCGCCAATGCCCGCCCATTGCACAATCGCCCCAACGGTCGTATTTTATTTTGTTAAAAAGGAGACGAAGGTTTCAGTCTCTGGCTAACTTCAACTTCTTCCCGCTTCCTTCCTCTTCTCGGCTTCGTCAAGAAAGAAAGGGCGAGCGACGGACTGCTGGAGCCATGGGTCGTGCGAAGCTTCCGATCAAGTATCGAGAGCAAGTTCGCGCGCGCCGCTCAACTTACATGACGAGATGGAAAGGCTTGAAGAAGAAGACCGAAGAAATCTCCCTCCTCTGCGGCGTTCCTGCTCTCGTCGCTGCACGTTCGCCGGAATTCAACACCGTAGAATTCTGGCCGGAGAAGGGCACGCCGGAATTCCACCGGATCAGGGAGCGATACCTCTGCCTTCACAAGAAGAGGAATAACAGCGATGACAAGGGCGATGAAGGAAGCGGCAACAGCGCAGAGCAAATCCCGTGCCTTCCGATGTCTTCTTCTTGCGTTTCCACGACGCTGTTCCATGAGGAGATGGTGGCCATGGAAATCAAACTGAAAGAGATCAGAGAGAGGCTGCAGTTCTTCCAAGCCCATTCTCATACTGAGAATTTGGCAGGTCATTTTCCGGGCGAAGAAGAGCAGCATCTTGCGCCGTACCCCGTTTCCACTCCTCTACAGCAAGATCATCTTTCCTATGATCAGCTTCCTCCAGATTTTGCCACTTTCAATATATTTTTGCAGCAAGATGAGAATTTGGCACGTCATTTTCCTTTTCCGGGCGAGAAAGAGCAGCATCTTGCGCCGTATGCCGTTTCCACTCCTCTGCAGCAATATCATCTTTCCTATGATCAGCTTACTCCAGATTTTGCTGCTTCCAATATGCTTTTGCATCAGAATGATCTTCCTATGATCAATCTGGAAGAAATTTCTCCACTGTCACCACCTCTTCCTCCTTATGACCAGCATACTCTTTCTTTTGCTGATTTTAGTACCGAGGATCCATCAGTTGGTATGCTGCCTTCAGACTCCCCTATGTGGAGCAACTTAGATGATTGGACTTGGTTTGATAGTATTTTTCTAGATTTAGAATATGTTATATAGATATAGCTTATGTAGTAGTTTATCCAGTAACATCATGTTTTTTCTTGTATACAACAGCTCCATAGTATGAAATAAATGTTCTAAGTTTTTTAGGACAAATAAGTAATAAGATTTTGTTGTTTTGGTTCAATATTGATTTTACTGTGAGTGAATTTTGGATTATAAATATAGCTTCAATAAATTTTCTAACTTTAGAAGAAACCTTGCAGATTGAAATACATCCTATGAATCATGAATAAAACCATATATATCAATCAGATGAATGACATTATGATATTAAATACTTCCATCACTTTTAAGACTATAGCTCAACATCTGTGTTTTTCCCTAACACGGACTTGGAATTCGGTAAGATTCCATCATCTCGACCCTCAAATCATGAATTCTATAATTTTTGAATTTTTACAACGCTAAAATAATGGCCAGACGAGACAACAATATCCATTTTTTATGTGAAATCTAATTTTGCAACTAGAAATCATAGACTAACTCACCATCATCCGTAAGACTAACACAAGCCAACTTTTTTTTTTAACAAGAACAAATGCACGTGAATCCTCCTGCAACAAATTATGGCGTATGTTTGCCTTCTAGTTGAGTGGCTGCGACAGTACCCCCTCCGTTTGTGCAATGAACGTCATTAGCCTAGGCAACCATTGATCGGTAGCTAATCCCGTAGACATAAATAATACTACAAAGCCAAATTACAAAAATGGTTCGTCTTCCTGTTATTAGTAATTAAAAACTAGAGAAGAGAAAATTAACGAAATTTTGGTGAGAGATAAAGATAAAAAGTTTCATAGTTAGCTTCAACACTCAACCGCTTTAAAGAATAGTCGTGAAAAAAAGAACAAATGAAAAACATAATGGAGAAGTAGAGGAAAATATTCTTCAGCATTCTATTTCAGACGTATGGACTTTGATTTCACCTACTTTTATTAACACCTTTGATTTTGGTCAACTTTAACTATTCTAAGTATATAACATTTAAATTGTACACTTAGTATGGTAATTGGAGAGGTTCTAAATACATGAGATCTTATGATAAACCTACATGATTCATAATTCTAAGTAAGCCTAGGGTTTGATTTGGTGGAGTGGACATAAGAAATATATGCTAACGAGTTGATGTATGGAACTTAAATAAAAGCATATCATAAAAAAGTTTATATATCTCATATTGGTTAACGAAGAGAATCTAAAATCAACAGTGAGGGAAACTAACATAAAAAATGACACATTCATCACAGCCTTTTCATCAAACTCAAAAATCAGCCCTGGTGCTAGCACAATATTACGGCTTCAAAATAATAAAGGGGCATTCACATGCATACCACCCAATTCCTACATATTTATATATATCTAACACCAAAACTTTATATTTTACAATTATTGTTTTATACCACCCAAAATTTTCACATTGCATTAAAAATAACACTATTTTAACTATAAAATGTGAAATATACTGTTTTATGCAGATGCGAGGTGGCAAGCAAGTAAAAATTCAGTTTTATATGTTAGATATGTAAATACATGGAAATTGAGTAGTATTTTGGCGTGTGCATGAGCTGAACCAGCTTGTTAACGAGCTCAAGAGACAAGCTTATCGAGCAACGAGAGCTCCAGCTCAAACTTGAGCTCATCCCGGCTCGGCTCGTTGGCACACAAGAAGGCTCGATTAACTTAATGCTAGTTATTTTGATGCATTTTCAGGTGAGTCGCCGCTGCATCCTCCTCTTCCTCCTCCGACCACCAATAACTTCTCCAGTGAGCTCCCATATAAAATTGAAGTTTTAGTTCAAGCTCGCGAGCTGGCTGCTACCACTACAAGCCGAGCTTGAGCTCACATTTTGACAGACGAGACGAGCTCGAGCTCGGGTTGACTCATTTACACCCCCTAACAGTATGAATGTAAAACTTCCAATAATAAAATCAGGAATTATTTCTTTAAAGCCTTCAATGATTAATAGATGACTGACCATGTCACAAGATGTTAGAATTTCGATTAAACGGATCGTGAGTCCTGACTTATCATTCCTTTTATCAAATGGGAAATAGAAGAAGAAGAAGATAGAGTAGCCTTCTGGCGCATGAACGTCTGTTCATTGAAGATTGAAACATTTAAATGAAAAAAAATGAAAAGAATATACATTAAAATAACAGTATTTCACTGATAAAACAGAGAAAGAAACAATTTTCAAGCAATTTGAGTCTCCTTGCAACTTCAAGAAAGAGGATAGGAAGAAGTAGATGAACAGGAAAAATATTGGAAATAATTTTCAGCACATCGTTCCCTTTTACTCTATTATTGCATGCGGTATAACCTCCAAGCTGCAATCGAAAAATGGCAATCATGCTGCTATGTAATGGCAACCTATTTAGCCTTAGTTATAACAAACCTTTCATACTTTCTTCTCATTCAGCCATTCTCTTTGACAACTTTCAAAACTGTGTACTCTAGCCAAAATAAGCATATCTTTTTCAAGTTGTACTCACATTTTAGAGCATAATAAATTCAAGTTTATCTGATGTTTCTTAATTCGTGCAACAATCTCAAACTTTAAATACAAGTATTTACACATTTGTCAAAAAACACGTGAACAAAATTATTTTTAATAATTTGATGGATCATGCATGCCTTTTTGAAAGTATCATAAAACCTCCGATGCAAAACAGTGAATTGTTTGTCATATAAAGAAAATTTTATTCACATGAGTGTGTTATCATTTAAGAAATGCACCGGTTTGATTTTAAGAAAAGCTCTTTAGTTTGTTACAGGTGAAGCTGTAGAGTCCAAAAGTAAGGTATATAAATATAAGGCTAGGAAATGTCATTTACGAAAATATTATTGTCAAGTAAAAATTGATCATTACTACCATAAACTGGAGCATGGGTTCAAGCTATTTTGAGGAACAATGTATGCAAAATCCATAGGCGCAATGGCTAGGCCCTTGTATTCAAGCAGCTCATTCGCCACATGTGGGTTTGATTTCAGAAGATTCCCAATCATTTCCTCATGTAGCTGATGATATGTTTGGCCGTCCCCCCCCCCCCCCCCCCCGCCCACCAATAACTTCTTGAGTGAGCTCTCATAAAAAATTGAATTTTTAGTTCAAGCTTGCGAGCTGGCTGCTACCACTACAAGCTGTGCTCGAGCTCACATTTTGATAGACAAGACGAGCTCGAGTTATGGATGGCTTGAGCTCGGCTAGACTCATTTACACCCCCTAAAAGTATGAATGTAAAACTTTCCAATAACAAAATCAGGAATATTTCTTTAAGGCCTTCAATGATTAATAGATGATTGACCATGTCACAAGATACTAGAATTTCGATTAGTTCCAGCACAAAAAAAAAAAAAAAAAAAATCACATACCTTGCCCTCATCTGCATCAGAATGGCGTTGAGGAAACACTACTCTAATATCATTATACAAATAGAAGTGACGCTCTCCCTCAACAGCTCCATTATTTCTCTTTGGCACCGAAAAGGGATCCGATTGACATCTTTGCACTGCTTTGCAACATTTCCTTGAAAAGGGGCATAGAAAACGAACATGTAGGGCATAACGCAGAGCACCAGAAGTAGGGCAATTATCATTTAGTTTTGTAGAGCTATGAATAGATTTCTGATAAGTTATATCCCCCTCTCCGTTCATAAAATAATTGGTGTTCATATTAGCTATAAAACCATTAGGCTGTTCAGGGCTTTCCGAAGGTGAAAAGAACAGGGAATTAAGGTCTGGTATAGTTGGAGATCTACTAGCTTTTTCAGAATGATGATCAGTAGTAACATGCACACAGCCTGCAAAATCAGTAGATGTGTGTTCAAAGCACCTAAAGTGAAATTTATTAGTATCATGCGGCTAGCAATTTCATATTGTACCTTCAGTTTTGTTGGAGAGCACTGAGTTTTGACTTCTCATTCCTTTTATCAAATGGGAAACAGAAGAAGAAGAAGATAGAGTAGCCTTCTGGCGCATGAACGTCTGTTCATTGAAGATTGAAACATTTAAATGAAAAAAAATGAAAAGAATATACATTAAAATAACAGTATTTCACTGATAAAACAGAGAAAGAAACAATTTTCAAGCAATTTGAGTCTCCTTGCAACTTCAAGAAAGAGGATAGGAAGAAGTAGATGAACAGGAAAAATATTGGAAATAATTTTCAGCACATCGTTCCCTTTTACTCTGTTACTGCATGCAGTATAACCTCCAAGCTGCAATAGAAAAATGGCAATCATGCTGCTATGTAATGGCAACCTATTTAGCTTTAGTTATAACAAACCTTCATACTTTCTTCTCATTCAGCCATTCTCTTTGACAACTTTCAAAACTGTGTACTCTAGCCAAAATAAGCATATCTTTTTCAAGTTGTACTCACATTTTAGAGCATAATAAATTCAAGTTTATCTGATGTTTCTTAATTCGTGCAACAATCTCAAACTTTAAATACAAGTATTTACACATTTGTCAAAAAACACGTGAACAAAATTATTTTTAATAATTTGATGGATCATGCATGCCTTTTTGAAAGTATCATAAAACCTCCGATGCAAAACAGTGAATTGTTTGTCATATAAAGAAAATTTTATCCACATGAGAGTGTCATCATTTAAGAAAAGCACCGGTTTGATTTTAAGAAAAGCTCTTTAGTTTGTTTCAAGTGAAGCTGTAGAGTCCAAAAGTAAGGTATATAAATAAATGGCTAGCAAATGGCATTTACGAAAATATTATTGTCAAGTAAAAATTGATCATTACTGGCATAAACTAGAGCACGAGTTCAAGCTATTTTGAAGAACAATGTATGCAGAATCCATAGGCGCAATGGCTAGGCCCTTGTATTCAAGCAGCTCATTGGCCACATGTGGGTTTGACTTCAGAAGATTCCCAATCATTTCCTCAAGTAGCTGATGAAATGTTTGAGGATGGAATAAGTAGTGACCGAAGCCCTACATAAAAAAACTCCTCATTCTTAAAAATTTTCACATCTGTAGAAAATATTAAAAAATGTATAATGAAATACAACCACTTTTTTTATGAGCTTAGATGTATCACTGACGAAGATTATACAAGGCAATTAATCAAAAGAGTTATGTGCATAATCCTTCAAGTACACCAAGTCTGCATTGTGATGATTTTAAAGATCAGTAAAGAAAAAAAAAAGAAATTGATGCTTGTAATTTCACTTTAGGCTTAATCGGTTGCTACAAATTAAAAAATATGCTTAGAAACAAATAAAATTTATCTTAAATCCATCATTTGGTTGAATGGAGTTAGAGATCAATCTTGTATTTTGCACTCTAGAAAGCTTCACTCAACCCCCAAAAAATAGAATTACATTACGTTAATTGAAGAGATATAATACAAGAGATAGAATAAAGCACTGGGTGATGAATTTTCATTGACATAATATCTTCATAAATTTTATAGTAATACAATACTAAAATAAGGCAGCAGAAGAAAGCCAAAAAAGTTTATTGTATAAAGAAAAAGCACTAGCTTTTAAATGTAAAGTGATATTGATACAATATTTAATGATAAAATAACAGAACAAAGTTATAAAAGCAAGTTATACAAATACTAATAATTATAAATGGGAACGAAGAAATAAAGCACCTCAATATGAACGAAGGAATGAGCTGAGGGTTCACCAGTCAATCTGGTTTGGCTCAATGCCTGTCATTTGCCCTGAATTAGAATTGAAGCAGAAGAATAATAACAACAATGGGAAAACAATTCAGATGAAAGTTAAATGTTGCTTTAAATAGTTGTTTCTCTTCCACCTAATTAACCAACATCCATTTCTATCTATTTGGTTGAAAACGTGTAAAATTAACAAAAAAATGTACACGAATTTTAGTATAAAATGCAAAATTTGGGCTGCTCTGTAATTAGTTTAGAGAAAAGGCTCAATTAAATTTGCTTTGTAGATTAGGGTTGTAGATATAATTGTTATATGCTAATAGCTTCCTTTTGGCTTTATAATTGGATTGAGCTCATCTTGTTCTCTAAGCATATCAGCCATATTACAACATGATACGCAAGCTCGTTCATTAAACAAGTCGGATATGATTAGAACCCACGTGTTCAGGTTGGTAACACAAAACATCATACAATGAAAAGCAATTTTTTTGCAAAAATACAATAAAATAAAACATATTGAAAGAATGATGTGTAACCTCCCTATGTAAGACACTATTAGAAGTTTGTCATCACTTGTTTTTCCTACCATGCTTACTGAATATAACTGTTAACCATCCTTCACTGACAAAGACAACAACATACCATAAAATAACAGAACCAAGTTAAAGCATATCGCATTAGAATTCAAAGTATGCTTCACTATAATATCAACTTGTTTGAATCAATTTATTTGGAATATTTCTTTTTAGGAACTGATGAAATACCTATTGCAATTTAGAGAATTATGAGGGATACTAAAACGTTTTGTTTGATCAAGAAATCCATTCAATAAAATTTCAAAGATTAAGGGAATGTCCAATGATCGAAGATGGAGCATTTGATATCAATAATTAGGACAAGAAAAGTTCTACATGAAGCAAATTATGGAGGAATCAAATTAATAATTCATACAATGAAACTACAAAATAAAGTAATTGTATATGAACTTTGAATATTTATGTCCAACTAGAAGTATCAATTTTATTTCGTACTATAAAGATTAAATATAGAGTTAATTTTTTTTTGTTAAGACAATTAATGAAAATAATTAAAGTAGAGAGAATTCTCATATATTGTTTACAGGTATATAATTGAGTACAATATAAATTGAATTAATATCCATTAAGAAAACGGTGTTAAGGGTATGTTGATTTCATTGAAGCCATAACATGGATCATTAATTAGTGTTGGACATACTTGTGCAAAGACAAAAGATAATTACTAGAAAAACAAGTTATCAAAAACAAAAAATGGAGATCGTAGATATATTTCTAGGAAATACATTCTAATGAGATCCAGTAATGCATTCTTGAGTTTTCTAGGGCATTAAACTCTTTTAATTTTGAAATAGTCCTCATAAAATAAACGTTCTTAAAGAGAAGCGCATTATAATGTCAATAAATTTATGATAACAAGAAAACCAAACTATTTGATGCAAAGATGAATAGTATCTTTAATCTATTAATGTCGTCATCTTTCTCTCGATATTGATATTAGCATGGTTTAAATACCATACAAGTATTCTAAAGTAAATTCACTACAAATAAGTAACAATATTTACATCTATTATTTAACTTTTATAAGCATTTCAAATCAGACAACTAATATCTACTGCTTCCCCAACCCATTGCTCCACATTCCTTGCCATGCCACCACCTTACGCAGCCGTAAACAATCAACCCCATAAAAGGTGTCTGTGTGTGTCGTTTTAGTTGTTTTTTTTTTTTCAATTTTTGTGTTGCTTGTAACTGCTTGTTGGCTTTTTGAGTAATAATAGTGCTTTGGTTATTGTCGTTTGTTTTAATTTTGGTATCAACAATCATTCGACAAATTATTTAGCAATAAAATGTATCAAAATTGAAAGATGATTAATGTAAGATTGCTTTCAATTACAGGAGCATTAGTTGTCACTTACATTTAGCCGAAGTTTCAGAAAATTAATATAATCGATGACATTATCAAGTATAGATGCCTGATTACCCTAAAAATAAGCAAAAACAAACAAAAAAAAATAGAATGCATAAACACCATAGTGAATATAGAAAGGGAAAAATGTCAACATTGAGATAAAACTTTTGAAAAACAGGGCTTCCAAGTCATTTAAATTGCATAAATTTTAGTTGTTTGCATGACACAAATAATCATATGAAACAATTTCTAGACATTTGTTCCTCGAGTTTATAACAAACTTCTATTGAGTATAGTCTAATAAGAGTTTTTTTTTAATTTTTTAACTGAGAAAATTTGGGGCTGGATAACAGACCTCAATTTGAGTAGGATTATTTATATCGCTATGAATTTATTTTGAGATGGATAAAATAAATGAATTGTTGAAAATATAATAGTAATTTTAATAAAAGGCATTCTAGCTATTTGACTTTGATCGGCTTATAAATTTTTTTTAATATTTAGCAAAGAAATTAATTGTGAACCACAAAACATTCAACATTTATTTATATATATTAGTTGGAGCTACAGGACATAGTAAACATATTGTTTCAGAATATGGTAGTGCATTTTTCAATACTTTAATTGCTTCGACAACTTTAGTTCTATATATCTGCCATAAGCAAACTTTTAACAAATATACAATGCAACTTAGGAGAGAAATAAAACGAAGGTTAGGTTATACTGCTCCAATAAATAGCTACGGTACAAGGCTATATGTGTTATTGTTGCGGAGAAAAAGAACGATTTTGTATGAGAGAATGATAAAATTGTAACAAACTCCCAAAGAACACCAAAAATTTTCTTACCCGACTACAAAGTACTTTTGGAGGTCTAGCCAAATTTGTTGCCATGCTTGCTTCATATTGTTGTGTGACATTAGAGCAGTATTTTGATTTAGGCTTGATCAGGACACCAAAGGGGAGCCAATTCTCAAAAATGAAATGGAACAAGCATATTCCACAAATAATGAAAATGAAATATACTTATGAAATAAATGGGAATCAACTTACGATCAAAGTTACTTGTGCACATATCAAAAACAATAATTAGAAAATAGAGTTGTAAATATGAACATACTTATGCAGGTTCTTCAGATTCAACCTTATTTGCAAAATTGGTTTGTTCTCCTTGAGTATTTGATAATGAATATCAAATCTATATCTTAGAAAAGCTTCAAACGCTTAGACTTCCGACATTACATCTGACATTATTGTAGAACATAGGTACCGCAAATTACCCCGGAAGGCAAGAAAAACTCCAAACTTCCAAATCTTATGAATTTTAGGTGGTGGATTCGAGGAATACGATTGACAAGTCTTGAATTGTATCGAAGTCTATACCTGCTCAATGAGAGCTATTCTTTTAATACGCATGTGTCTTCTCCACTGTCATCTTCTCATATTCTTATTATGTTGCGTTTGAATCTCTTGAAATTCAAGTTTTATTATGATACTGTCCTCCAGGTCATCTCAATTTTTATTATGTTGCAAGGTTATAGTCTCATCTTTTTATTAATAAAAATTCAAAGTTTTATCAGTACGAAACCTGCTAATTGGCGAAGCGTACTCAACATGTATATCCTCTGTTTCAGCACAAATTCTCGCATCCTTTTATTTATCATCCAAAATGACATTTAGAGAAAATCAAAAGTGTAAATCATTTGAAGTGAAAACCATTTAAAGTGAAAACCATCAATGGAGCCAAATAGTTTGTCTTCTTTGATGGTCATCCTAGAACTAATTGGATATTCCTCAAGGATGAGAAATTTGAAACTACACCAATCTGTTGGTCCTTTTATGACATAATTTACACTTAGTCTCAATGCAAGATTTAAATCCTCAAAATTGATAATGCAAACGAATACTTTAAGCAGATCTTTGGATCCTATCTTGCAAAGAATAGTATCATCCATGTGAGTTCCTGTGTTGAAACTCCACAATAAAATAAGATAGATGAGAGGAAAAATATATATCTCCTCCAGTTATCTAGGTCTATAATACTTTCTCACAATGTCCTAAAACTTTTCTGGGGAGATGCCAACTAAACCGCCTACCTTATTAAAAGAATGCCAAGCATGGTCCTTGGTTTCAAAACCTCTCTCCATGTTTTGATGAAAACATACACTCTCTTTTGTTCACATTTACCAACTAAACTGCCCAAAGCTTGATCCAAAATCCATCAAATTTCTCTTTCCTGGACATGATTCTAACAAAAAGAAGTGTGCATTATTCTTCCATTACTAAAAAAGCTACAACTCAAGGAATGTTACATTTTTTGAAAAATAATCCTACTACCCCAAATCTGAAATTCAGGGGGAGAGTCTGGGTGAACATCAAATTTGGGATACTACTCTGGATACCTACACCGAATTAGAGTCACCACAACCTATTCTACTTTCCTCTAATCATCTTGTCTCCTAAGTTCCATCACTTTATAATATCTAATATGAGATTGATAATAAGAAAATGAATAAGGAACTTCGTGTGTACACTAGGTGAAATAAATTCACTGAGCCCGATAGAAACCACATGACTGTTCACAACCAAACTATAATCCACACATCTCCGAAGTTCCAACAGAAGTGGAATTTAGTAAAGAGGATGGAAAGTTGCACAAATTATCCTATTTAGGAATATATTGCCTACGAGAAGTTTTCATCACCTTCTAAATTTTTTGTATATAATCTTCATATTGTGCAAATATCCAAGTCTATATATGAAGCATTTCAAAGTCCAGAATAGAAAAATGTAATTGAAGAGAAGATTCTAGCATTTGACCTAAATGACACATGGGCCTTTACAAAACTTCTTCTAGTTTTAAAAGTCGTTGGGAGTAAATGAGTGTTTAATATTAAGTACAAAGCAGATCGGAGCATTGAGAGATTTAATGCTAGGTTGGTGGCTAAGAGTTTCACTCAATCTTATGGGGTAGACTATTAAGAGATCTCTGCACCCATGGCCAAGATGAAAAATGTAAGAGTTCTTTCCTTGGCAGTGAACAAAGTGTGGGAACTACATCAACTCGATTTCAAGAATGCCTTTTTTGAATGAAGACCTTGAAGAGGAAGTTTGTATGGATATCCAACTCGGGTTATTGAATGAGTGCTGGACAATCCTATGTATGGGGGCAATCCCATCATATGGAGGAGCAAAAGGGCAAGCAATTGTTTCTAGGATTAGTGCAAAGTCTGAGTGCTGGACACAAGCTTTGGGAATTTATGAAGGAATGTGGATCTGAAGGTTATTAAATGAGCTGAGATGCTCCATGACAAATCCTATAATGATCTTTTGTGACAGCCAAGCCATCAGTAGTATTGCAAAGAACAATGTGCATCATGACATGACCAAATGCATTGAGATTGTTGGACATTATCTCTGGAAAGGTTAATAATGGTAATATTCAAATCTAAATTCCAACTCATCTTCAAATCGTTGATGTCTTAACTATATCCATGACCCAACTTGGGTAGTGTGAAATTCTACCCCCGTTATGTGGCCGAGACAACCAGCCATATGCGCCTCATATGTTCAAATTGTGAAAGTTATTGGATGGATTTTCCTATTTCAGCTTTATTCTTTTATATTGTGTTGTATGTTTTTCTATTATTGTTTGTTTTGTATTTAGTAATTTGTAATAATCTTAATTATGTTTGCCCTAACTGTTACTCATAAAATATGGGATAACGTTGTAATTTGAATATGAGGGAATAAGAGATTATTGTCTCTCAACCTTCAAATACTCATTCTTCTCTTTGCCTACCCCGTCACAACTCTTGAGGCCTTTTCTATGAAAAGTGATGGTATTTCAAATTCAAGGTTTATGAACCCTTCAAATGCACATAATTCTGGAGTTCATGATGAAGATGTAGATGCTAAATTAATGGCAAGGTTGGATGAGCTTGGGAAAGAAGAGGAAGAAGTTGCGAGTGATATAGATGATGATGAGGATGATCAAAAAGCTAGTTCTTCAGATGTTGATGAAAATGGAAATTATCTGAGGGTTGACAAAGATAAGGATGATGAAGATGACGAAGATGTTGATGAGGCAAGTTATTCGAAGGCTGTTGAAGATAAATATGATGAGGAAGAGAATAATGAAGATGATGATAAGAATGACAATGTTAAAAATAATTCTCAAAGTAATGTTGTCGTGAGTGTTTAAACTGGTTTCAGATTTGTTGAGGTTGTTGTCAGTATAAAAATTTAATCAAATTAGTTTATCTAATTATACGATGAAAATGAAAATATAAATTTTTAATTGTATATTTAGGCTTCATTATTTATTTTTGAAATTTTCGAACACTTTACAGGTTCTAGCACCGAGGGTAATAAGTCCAAGAACATCTATTCCAACTTCTATGCAACACAATGCATTAGGCTTGCTACACAACCCTTCTTATCAATCTTCTATAAGAAACAATTTTATTAGAAGATTTACATTCATACCACACACTTCTTATGTATTTACAACGCGCAAGTCAAAATCGCAGCAACAAAAAACAAGTATTCATGTAACTTCAAAAAATAAATTAGCATATCCAATACAAAAAAAGGTTTTTTAGGATATTATTTCAATACATTCTCTGTTAAAGGTCGAAAGGTTATTCGTTCCCATGTTATTATTTAAAGAATTTACATGTACCAAAAACTTTATCCTAGATACAAAATGGGGCACACAAAGGAATCAAAATGTATTTAACTAGGGTCATATTTGAATTTAGAATTTAGATTTTTTTTTATTGTCCTTGTTACTATATATAAATGGATTGATGGTTTTAATTCTAATTTGAGTATTGATAAACAAAATTTTTTTGAGTGGCTAATTTAGTTTCATTTAGATCCAAATTATATAAAAAATAAAGACATTAGAAAAATTACTGAAGCTATATTTATGATCAAAAAATCACTCAAAAGTAAAGTCAATTTTGAGCCAAAGCAACAAAATTTTATTACTTATCTTGTCCTAAAAAGTTTAGAACATTCATTTCATACAATAGAGTTGTATACAAGAAAAAAATGATGTCATTGGATAAGCTACCACTCAAGCTATATCTATAAAGCAGATTATAAAGCTAGAAAAGCACTATCAGCCCAATTCCAATCATCTAATTTGCTCCAAAATGGGGTGTCCAAAGGCAGCATACCACCTGATGGATCATCGGTGTTAAGATCAACAAGATGATGGAGAGATTCATCAAATGGAGTAGGTTGTTCAAGATATTGAAAATGTTGAACAAATGGAAGAGGTTGGTCAAAATGTTGTAGAATATCATGTTGCAAAGGCATATTGAAACCAGCATTATAAGGAAGGATGCATTCAACAGATATATAATATTGGTCAGTTGAAGGAATAGATTGAGCAAATAAAGAAAGTTGTACAAGTGGGTGGTAAATGTCTTGCTGGAAACACATTGAAACCAGCAAAAAGAGGAATAGGTTGGTCATGAGAAGGAAGAGGTGGTGCGGGTGGAGAAGTTTGTTCTAGATTGATCATAAGAAGATCATCCGGCTCCAAAAATATATTGAAATTAGCGAAATCATGAGGAAGTTGATCATAAGAAACAAGATCCTACTGCAAAGGAGTGGAAACGACGAACTGCGCAAGAAGCGGCTCCTCTTCGTCCGGAAGCTGACGTGCCAAATTCTCAGTATGATAATCGTTTTGGAGGAAGTGCAGCCTCTCTCTGATCTCTTTCAGTTTGATTTTCATGTTGATGTGTTAATTTTTCGGCTTTAATTTACATCAAATCTACCAATAGAACATTAAAATCCCTTATGATCTAGGACTTCTAACTATCGTCTAATAGAACAAGTGGCTTAAAAGACAATATCCTAATGGAATGGTTTGCAAATTGCAACCAAGATAGAGGGCTAGAGGAATTTGGCACGTCAACTTCAGGGCGAAAATGAGCCGCTTCTTGCATAGTTTGCGTTTCCACTCCTTTGCAACAGGACTTTCTTTCTTATGATCAACTTCCCCCTGATTTTGCTAATTTCAATATGTTTTTGGAGCAGGATAATCTTCTTATGATCAATCTGGAACAAACTTCTCCACCCGTACCACCTCTTCCTACTCATGAACAGCCTATTCCTCTTTTTGCTGGTTTCAATATGTGTTTCCAGCAAGACATTTACGACCCACTTATATAATCTTCTCTATTTGTTCAATCAATTTCTCCAACCGACCAATATTATCCATCTGCTCAATACATCCTTCCTCATCATGTTGATTTTGATATGCCTTTGCACCATGGTTTTATATATCATTTCGAGCAACCTTCTACATTTGCTGAACAACCCACTCTATTTGATGAATCTCTCCATCATCTTGCTGATTTTAATATCGAGGATCCGTCAAGTGGTATGCTGCTTTTGGACTCCCCTATGCGGAGCAACTCGGATGATTGAACTTGGGCTGTTTTATTAGATTTAGAATCTGCTTTATAGATATAGCTTGTGTAGCAGCTTATCCAGTGACATCATTTTTTTTTCTTATATAGAACTCTATTGTATGAAATGAATGTTCTAAACTTTTTAGGACAAGATAAGTAATAAAATTTTGTTGTTTTGTTTCAATTTTAATTTTACTTTGAGTAATTTTTGGATCATAAATATAGCTTCAATAACTTTTCTAATGTCTTTATTTTTTTATATAATTAGGATCTAAATAGAACTCAATTAGCCTTACAAAATAATTTTCTTTATCAATAGTTAAATTACAATACAAACCATCAATCAATTTTAAAAAAAAATAAAATAACAAGGATAATGATAAAAAATTAAATTCAAAATTCAAATATTACCCTAGTTAAATAGATTTTAATTTCTTTGTGTGCATCATTTTTTTACTAGAATAAAATTGTTGGTAAATGTAAATTCTTTGAATAATATCATGAGAACGAATAACCTTTCAACCTTTAACGAAGTATGCATTGAAATAGCATCCTGAAAAACCTTTTTTGTATAGGATATGCTAATTTATTTTTTGAAGTTATATGATTACTTGTTTTTTTATTGCCACAATTTTGACTTACATGTTGTAAATACATAAGAAGTGTGTGGTATGCATGTATATCTTCTAATAAAGTATTGTTTTACGAAAGTTCAGACTAATACTTCTCAACGCTTGTTTCATTCTTTATAGCTTGCTTCATCTATTTTTTCCCTATACATGCATACCACACAATTTCGGTATATTTACATATCTAACACCTAAACTTTTATTTTTTTTACATTTATAACACCAAATGATTTATATCACATCATATACCACTATTACTAGTTTATGAAAACTATACTAACAGGAAATACAATTTTCAAGTATGGATAAAGTTGTATAAGTGTAAAAATCAAAGTTCAATGAAGCCAATGCATGAAAGAATGTTTGCACAGATATGAAGGAAGGGAAAGGTTGCACTTCAAAAAATTTCTCGTCAAAATAATACAGTTCTAGAGGAATGCTATGGCAACACAAACAGTGACATTATTGTGAACATAGGTACAACAAATTATTTCGAAAGGCAAGAAATACTCCAAACTTCCAACTTTTGCAGCAGGACACAGAGAGTTTGATAAACTGCTCGATGCTTTAGTATCAAGAATATTAATTATAGGCAACAAATGATTTAAAGTTGAAGCGCCAGTTTCATAAAAGCATGTTCTCTTCAGGTAATTTCAATTAGATCTTCCAACATCCAACGGTGAATCTGTTGCTTGTACACCGGGATTATATTTAAGTAGAGGTGATGCACTCCTATCAATCATTTCACTAGATGTAGTTGTAAGTTGTGGCCTTGGATTGGGAAAAACATTATCAGGAAGAAGAATATTTGCATTATAACTGAATCCTTACGCCAATTTACATAGAGAAAAGTTATTTTTATTTATAGCATAAATTTCATGTCAGCTTCTTTTATATCTAGTAACCCATTTTCTTCTCACACATTTACATCCTACAAGCCTCATTGTTTTCGATGTCTTCCATCAAGGATTTCTTTAGTATAAAATCAATCTCATGTATGATGATAGTCGATAAATAGAGAGAATTTAATTGAAAAAAAATTTAATTGAAAAAAGAAACATAGTTGCATGTTACCTGACAAATATCAATAAACAAATTCATATAGCCAAATAAAAAACTAAAAATGAAGTTGTTGTATCACAAGTTCAGTAAATGCTAAAAATCTTTAAATCAAACAGATCAATAGTTTATTAAAAATTAGTTTTCCCATGACACAACTAGTTGCATAACTTTGCATTGCAAGAAAATTAAGGGAAATTATACAAAGATCAATTAGTTATGAAAGCACAATAACTTTTTGGATAATCTTACTTATGCAGTCGTTCATTAAAAAAAATTTCCAACAAACACCATATGGCACAATCTTATTAATCTATGACTACCATATCAAATATCTTGCAATCAAGAACCTAGCTGCATTAAATATGCATGTTTCCCCATTTTTCACAAGACAAATGGAAAGCCCATGAAAGAGTTCATCCATAGCTACCGAGTATATAGGTTCATTTAAATTTATAATAAATACCTCATCAGTATTAAGAACTTTGAAATTTAAAACTAACAAGAGGCTTGATGCTACTCTCACACATAAGATGCACATGAAATTTTGTCTATCTTGATCTAATTCTATGATAAAAGACAAAATGAAACATCTTAATTTACAAAACATAAGACCGACATTATTTTGGTTAAAAAATAATGCATATAAATTCAGGATGCATTAAAAAAAAACATTTTGAAGAATACAAAACAAAATTAAAAATTTTAAAAGAAGGTTGCCACTACACCAAAAATCATCATAGCTATATTTATCCTAACTAATTGAAGTTAATTTTTTGAGTCCATATTAATCATGCATTTGCACTAAAGTATAGCATGAGAAGTAACCTTCTGGACAACTTTTATCCACAATATCGTGGGTTTAACCCTTTTCCCTTATCTTTCAACACTAATTTTATTTAACTAATAGGTGAATTTTCTACTATACATTATGCATGTTCAAACCATCGAAAACCTATTTTTCAATACCTTAGCTTCAATTAATGCTACCCACAACCTCTCTAATATAATTATTCCTCAATTTTTCCTTTATAATTTTGTCACGCAAATAATTTGAATTTCCTTTTTTTGTTCTGTCAATCTCAACCAGTCAATCAATAACATTTGTACTAGCCAACACTATAATTCAATTAATCCAAATAACATAATTGCAATTTATAAATTTTAATTTTAAATCTCCATGACATTGTTTTAGTGTAATACTTTTGGGATATTTCTCTATTTATATCTCACTTGATTACCAACTGAATCTTAAAGTTATTGTGCAAAAGTGTCACTTTATCTTATTTAATAATTTTGAGTTATTAGGTAATATTTATCATTTTTCAAAACAATACTAATAGTATAGCTAGCAGCAACAACAACCTTCTTTGCTCATTCCTCAACACACAAAGAAAATTGATCAAGCAATCTCAACCATCAATGTTAAATAAAATGTGTTTAATCATCTTAATTTTGTCAATAACAAGTATTAGAATTTTTGTTTTGACATTTCAATTTTCAGTCTTTATAATCTTAAATTATTTTCATATACTGAAAACATAAGTTCAAAATAAAAGCCTATGCAATTAATCAATGCAATAGGAATGATTTTTCCTCCTAAGGTAAACTATATGATTTTATCTCTTGAAAGAGTTCAACATTACATTTCAAGAATTACATGTATAGTGCGTCAATTCTTGGGAAGCTATAAGCCTTTGATGTCTTTACCTAGCTTTCTCGTGCTACTTTTTTATGAAGGTTATTCTTGTTTTTTCAAAACAAAACTTAGAAAGAATGATAAATTGTTGAGAGTGTAGATGGGTGAATTTTATTTTGTTATACTTTAAGAGCCAATTGGGATTTTTTTTTTTAGTTTTTTTGGAGATGGTGGATAAAGCAATTGGTGGCTTCTAGTGAAAATAGAGGATAACAAAGAGAGTCAGTGGTGAGCAACACTTAGTGGAGGTGATAATTTTTATAAAATTATTCAAAACACTAAAAAAATTTTTCGCGGGTGTTATTAAAAATATTTATGTAATTTTTGGTGTTTGTGGATAGTATGGTCAAATGTTATTGCTGGCTATGATAGCTCGGTTTCAATTTGTATCCACATGCATTTCAAGTTTTATAGGTTATGTTTTGCTGTGTAATGTGAATATTGAGTGTATCATTGTTTGCTTGAATGCTTTTGCTTGATGTTGGAGTGCTTGTGTCACTTTGGAGTGAGCAAAAAAACAATAATTAGCTCAATCTTTTCCTTTACAAAACTTCCTTTAAACTTTTACGACATCTCATAGTAGAGTTTTCATCCTTCCCGATTCATGTTCTTAGAGTAGACAACATTACAAATCTTTGCCTCTTGCTTAGTGTATTTTGAAACTGGATGATAACGTTAGTGTTATACTCTCCTGCTATTTTATAATGAGATTGATGAAAAATTTTCGCTACTAATTTTCTAGAAGATGGGAGCTTTATATACACAAAAGAAAATTAATTTGGTGCTCTTGTTCCTTTGAAAATTTCGTTATATCCAGTTTTTGCTTGCCATTTCAAAGTCTACAAAGGCTTCAGTGTTATATGAGTAATGATACGGGATTTTGTGCTTATAATTAACTTTAATTGTAATGTAATATGTAAACATAAAATTGTTTCATCCGTAGAACAAGGAGTACGGTGATTTTAGTTTGTCATTTTTCTAGTTATCTATAGTGTTTGCGTACCCAAAATCCTGTTAGTGAATTTTGAAGCCTGATTTTAATAATCTTACTACTGTTTTTATTTATAAGTGTATTTGAACTTTTTTGGAGATACTAGAAAGTATTAAAGCATTTCACATGCTTTAAAATTGCTGATATTTATATTTTATTTTTAGGAAAGACTCTGAGAGACACAGAATACACACTAAATGAAAACCAAGTGCCTGTCACCTTTTATATAGTTGTTTACTCACATATTCAAACTGAATGAAGTCTTTAAGGTTATGATCTATGGTGTAAATAGAATACACACATAAACATCTATATTATTTTGTCTCTTGATGCTTGGTGTTAGCTAAACTAATTTTGAAAAGATTTGGTCAAATATGTGCTTTTTGGTTTGTTTGTAAATGTAACTATTGTCTTTATGCATCTAACAATGCATTTCTAAGTTTTAGTTCCTTTATCACAATTTCACTCCTTATACCTTTATATAAAACTAATGGTTTATGATGGTCGTTGAGCATAACATGTTATGGCGCCAGAACACTTGAGAACTTGTAAACAAATTTGGAGTTTGGACCTATCTTGGTTAATATCAAATAAAATGATGGAGCATGAATATTATTTTTTGCAACCTGTTTTTCCTTTAAAAGTGCATAGCAAACTTGAGCAATTCATATCTATTGATTTATTACTACCATGAAGCGAGGAAATATATAGTTCATTCGTCAAAATCAACTCATAAAATATTAAGACGCACTCATCAAAAGTCAGTGTGCATTCATCAAGGAATAATGCATACTTATTAAAGGCACCCAAGATGCACACATCAAAGAATTGAGTGCACAATTAAAATGTCAAAGTACTCTCATAAAATACCAAACTACATCCATTAAAGACCGAGATTCGTCAAAAATTTAGGATGCGCTTGTCAATGGCAAGGACACATTCACCTGACAAAAATGGACTTGTCGAAAACCATAGTAAATATGCACTCATCCCAATTCAAGTGTTTACTTGCCCAATAAAAGAGAACACTCACTGCAATTTGCTAAGCCACTTGCCTAGTCAACAAAAGCTACTTGCCCATGCATGTACCAAACTAATGATATCCTCAAAAGGTGAGCATTCATCTTAGAAAGCTAGCAACCTTATTTACATTATCGGTGACTCCTTGTCACCCGCCTAAGAATTTGTTGTAACCCGCCTAAGAAGTTGTCCATATATGTGCAAGAATGCCTTAGCATTCAAAAATAATTTATTTATCTTACAAATAAATTCCTCATAACGATCTTTCTAAATGTAGTTTTCACATTCACATGAATTTCATTAAGGATAACAGCGCAGACACATCATGTACATGATCATGTGGCATTCACAACATACAAGCACGAAGAAAATATGAAGAAATTAAAATATAACATTCCTTTTTCAGGAAATCGGCAACCTTAGACCAAATACACATCGTCAAAGGATTCATAATCTGCTATTGGGCATAATGATCGTAACTGAGCGTCACTTGAACATATATTGAATCGCCAAAACTGCTGGAAAAAAATTTATATAAATGCACCTTCAAAGATGAATCAACGATGCTAAAGTCCGACTGAGAATTAAGCGTCACGCAGATCAGAAATGAAACCAAATCTCGCAAAAAGGAAAAATTACATTTAATCCTAAAAAACAAGAAAATTTTATAGATCCAAAAAACCATTAATAAGAGAGACTTAGCATTAGATTCATCGGCGTCAAAGCAACGATCAATGAACAATACACGAAAAGCATCAGCGAAATGCAAGATGACAATCAGAGCAGAGCTAGGATGATAGCATTAAGCTGAAACAAGAGGGGGAGAATGATATAAATGGCATTGTTAGCAATCAAAAACATAGGAACCTGGCCGTCATCAGAGCATCGCATTCGATCGGATGATGAGAAGGGAGGAGAAAGGAAATACCAGCGGATTGCTTGCAGAGGAAGATTGGGAAAGTTCGTGCAAATAATCTGATGGTTCCTCAAGCTCAGCTTTTCGCACTGACACCGATTTAATGTTTGCAGAATGGAGAAAAGCGCGGGAGAAAAGTACCGAATATACCCCTCTATAAACCATTTAAAGTATTTATTAATTTTATGCTTTTGATAAACCTCTCTACTTTTCGTATATGAAAACAATAAAATTAGCATATTAAAATATTTACATTAAAGCAATTAGTTTTTTACTAAATAGATTATAACAAACATTAAGCATATAGTCATAAATTTTAAAAAATTAGTTTTTGAACAACATTGAAAAATATGAGAAAAATGTATATCAACAGTAATTGCCGTGTGTGTGTGCCTGTGTGCAAATTAATTATGTAACTATTGTCAGAGTCTCAATTATAGAATCGTCTTTTTTAATCCCTTCTCTAAATAATTTTGCAAAATATATAATTATTATATTATAAGAATTAAAATGATTTTTATAAAGATTTATTGAAAGTATCACTATATAAAGAGTTGTTACATTTTTTTAGATATTTGTGCAAATTTAATGCACACACATTATGCACGAGCCTTTCAAATCAAAATCTTTTGATTAAAAACAGAAGCACTCAATAAATAAGTTAAAGTGACTCATATATAGACCTTGTTTGATTTGTAAAGTCATATATCGCCACAAAATATAAAAATTTTCTCATTCTTTGAAGAATGATATTTATGGTATCTTTTAATCTTTAAATTTGCTCATTGTTTTCGATAGAAGTCATATTGATTAAAAAAAAAACGCCATAGGCCTTGTGAAAATTAGAAATAATAATAATAAAGTAATTTATCCATAACTTTTTTTCTTATGAAATAAAATGTTCTCTTTATTATATCCTCATTTATTTTTTATAAAAAGTATGTACATGCCACATACAATAGAAAATTTATGAAGTAAGCATTCAACTCGAAAAGTATATAGGGGTTTTGACCTGTATATCACAGAAAATTTTCATTTTTTTGTGTGTAACACACACTAGATCATTTATCTCATGACATTTTGAACTATATTTTATGCAATCTCAAAGTATTGATTTTTTTCACTAAACTAAAATAAATTTTTGACATTCAGAAAAAAAAAAAAATTATATTATAAGTTGATGCTAGTAGTGTTGGATGTTTCTACATGCTCATCATAAAATGTGTCAATTTATACAACACTAATTATTCCTCTCTCTGCTCCCAAACAAAGGGGAGTTGCTTATTTAAGAAAAAGATGTTGTAGTTGTTAATGCAAAAACATTATGTCAATTAAATAAATAAAAAAAACTATTTTTGATGTTGGTGGCTTTTACATGGGAACTACAATTATTTTGTGTACTATAACTTGTTGTGCTCATGTACTGAGTGATATGTTGCAATGTTAGAAAAGCTTGTTGAACAAGATAGAAGGTTCAGAAGAAACTTGATTTTGATGTGATAAAAAAATAGCTGGAGCTATATTAGCTTAATTCCATTAGTTTTAAGGTTCAAGTTAAATAATGTGTTAGATTATGAGCAGTCATTGACATAGAAAATTATATCAGATTTTTTTTTGTTTATAAGGAAAGTTTTTTGGTTTTGCTTTGTATTAAAGCACTAGTAGTAAGTAACATTTTATAATTTTCCAATCTATTAAGTTTTGAAATGTGATCTTAGTTTCTTTCTTCCATCGTGGATTCACTTCGATCTTCTGCATTCTTCCCTTCGAATAACGGAACTAACATTTTTTTGCGCAAAAGGAAGAGATTAAGCTTTTAAAATTATAACATCAATTAGTGAATTGATTACAATGAATGATATGGATGTAAATGTTGTAACGTTTCACCTTATGAGAGTAAGTACAACCATGATTAAAAATAGTATGCATCAAAACAATACTCATGTTGATACAAGCTTGTAATATCTTATATATCCAACAAGCTCGCATTAACATACCACCCAACTTTTTACATATTTACATATCTAACATACAAACTTTACTTTTTGACATTTATACCTGCACTAAGCCTTTCAAATCACAAAAAATATACCACTATTAATTTAACTTTTAAAAAGTAGAATACACCTTTTCAAGCGTAGGTGAGATGACATGTATGAATTTAATAAAATTATTTTAAATTATCGTCTTCATCGAAAATTTTTAAATGACTTTTTTGTGCGAGATGAATGGAGATGCTAATTCAAGAATAATTATTTAATTATAACATGACCAATGTGTTTTTCAAGTCTATTGTATTATGTTTGGATTGGTAGTATATATTTTACTTTGATGACAAATACATATGATAACAACTTTATGAAGATTTGAATTATTGTTTATTTATATATTTATATTTGATTATGAGATGTTGCCAAATTTGTACTTTGTTTTGTTAAACATATTGTATATTTATATAGATATGAATAAAATTATTATGTTTTGAATGCGCGTGCTTATAATAGATAGATAGTTAGATATATATATATATA